AACCTAGCAACAAGAAAACTCTACTATAATCAACGGTACCTGATTCAAATATACCGGGAAGGTAATGAATTGGTACATTTTTCCGTTTCAAAAATGAACAAAATTTTATTGAAATCGGTCAGAAATAAAATTATCTATGTACCACGGGAATTAATGAGCCTTAATAACCTCAGGCAATTGCTGTCCCTCGGGCCAGAGGCCCTCGGGACGCAAACTTTGCCATCGGTAATTAAGGCCCTCCTAATTCCCTTGATACATAATTAACTATTTCTTGGCTATAAGCCTATTTTGTTTTATATAAGTCAAATATTACAAATGTGCCATGTACATAATTTGATACTTCCTGTTGCCTGACAAGTAAGTAATCTTAAACAATTTTTCCTAATTTCTTAACCTTGAAGATTATAAAAAAAAATAAAACTTCAATTTTCACCAAACTTCCTTTTCAATTAGATCACTTACTTTCAGGTGAGCACTGATGATGACGAAAGTCGAAAGTGCTTTGCAAGAATTTTGAAAATTATACACTTTAATACAAAAAACCTCTTCGATTCATTAACTAAATAAATGACCAAACAAAATCATTTAAATAATTTCGAAAGAACTTTTGTGAATTCATAATTTTTCCAGTGTGTCATCAAGTTCAATTTGGTGTCCATTCCATTTTTGGACCTTCCGATCCACTTCTTGGGACTCACATCCATTCAATATGCGATGCACTCGATATACCGCATTTGGAAATACGTCTCGATTCAGAAAATGATGTCAGAGAGTTTTCCATCAACTTACATCCGGCTCAGAATCTGCTGTCCTCCGCATTTGAAGATGTCATGATATTTTTGAACTGGACTCGCATAGCAGTTGTCTATGAAGATGACTACGGTGAGAATCTTTACTTACTGAATGTGATCTATCTTTTCATATTCTTGATAATCATTTTCAATGAGGGTGTAATTTTCAATACAGGGTGTAACTAAACTAAACATTTGAGGAGGTGATTTCTCATCGAAAAATAGATAGGATCTTTCATATAATGAAATTTCATTGGAGCATATAAATAATAACAATTAGTTTATCATGCCTTTTTCAATTTTTTATCACAGATATCAATTTTTTTCATCTTACCTTTATTTATAACCTATATCGTTTATCTGTAAAAGCTGCTAATTTATGTGAGGTTGGACTGAAAGAGTCGAAGGGGATCGTACAATCTGTGAATGTATTCTTTCGATAAAGTGTTCCATTCTTGGGCTAAGTAAAACATTGCTGTATCATCTGCATACGTGATTATTTCTCCTTTGGTATTGACTTCAAATGAATCATTTAAATAACTGTTAAACTGCATTGGTCTCAGTACAGCATTTGTGTCAGACATGTATTCAAGAGATTGCAGAATTCGTAAGTTATATACGGGTTAGCATTACATTTATCTTCAGATGTAGTAAAGGAAAGAAAATGAATTTGTTGGAAGCCATGGAAATCAATAAATCAATTAAAAACTCAAAATATAGAACCCTTAACGAACAAACAGATTTGTTTAGGTCTCTACTTTAGAATGTATGTTACAGATAAGAATGTTGAATAGTGAATGTTGTACTCAAATGAATATACAATACATATACACATCAAATATACACAATGAATATACATATATTTCCTCTACTGGTCTACATTCAAAAATAACAAATGAAATATAAATTAAAAAGGACATAGCAAACACCGAATCAGCGTCAGGAGTCTTCATTCACAGGATTATCGCCCCTCAATGTAGGAGCTGAGATCAATTTCATCAGGTAACTTCGTGACATCAACGGCAAATCTCCCTTGGACTTCGTTCAAAATCTTGACATCCCCCTCTTCGGAAACGAAAGTGATGGCCAAACCTTTTGTACCAAACCGGCCTGCCCTGGCCACTCTGTGTAAGTAGGTATCGGAGTTTTCTGGCATATCATAGTTGAAAACAATGTTGACCCTTTCAATGTCCATGCCACGCCCAAAGAGATCCGTAGCTACCAATATTCTCTTCCGGAAATCTTTGAACTGCTCATATCGAGACAGCCTCCCTTTCTGGCTCATTCCTCTGTGAATTCCGATGGCAGGGAAATTCTCTTCAGTCAGCAACTGTTCTAGAACCACACACCTTTTAGCTGATTTCACAAAAATGACCACCTGATTGAACTCGAGAACATCGAGCAACTCAAATAATTTTCTATTCTTCTCATTTTCTTTGAGTCCAACGTAATGCTGTTGCAATCCATGCAACGACAGTTTGGCTTCATCGTCTACATACACCTCCAGAGGGTCTTGCATGAATTTCTTGCACACCTGCCTAATGTCTCTGCCGAGCGTGGCACTGAACATCATGACTTGCTTTGTGTGTGGGGTGTTTCTGTATATCTCCTGGACGTCTCGCCTCATATCCATTAGCTCCAACATTTTATCGCACTCGTCAAGGATGAAATGTTTCAGGTTCTTGAGGACTAGCTTTCCTGACTTAACAAGCGCCAAAATACGTCCAGGCGTTCCTACAACAATGTGCGGACATTTGTTTTTCAAAATTCCTTCGTCGTTGGCAATAGGCATACCTCCGAAAAAGACGCCCACCTCGACACCAGGCATGTATTTACTGAACCTCTTGTACTCATTGCCGATTTGGAAGGCCAGTTCGCGAGTGTGGCACATCACCAAAACGTTAACAACATTTTCTGCTGGTTCCAGTTGTTGCAGTGTTGCCAGAATAAACACTGCCGTTTTGCCCATACCCGATTTGGCTTGACATAAAATGTCCATACCAATGACTGCCTGAGGAATACATTCGTGCTGAACTTCTGAAGGGTGTTCAAAACCGCAGTCAACAACAGCTCTTAGAATTTCCGATTTCAATAAAAAATCTCTAAAGCCTGAACTGTGTATAGATACATAAGTGCCTTTGGCCCCTTCCTTCTGTACTTCATTAGCTGTGGGCTCAGCGGTAGTCTGTTCGGTATTCATCTCATCTTCGTAGTCCAAAAGAACACCTACATCTGCCATTGTTTAAGACCTGAAATGAAAGAAAAATATATGAGTACAAAGTGAAAAAACTTGAATATTTCTCGACCGCCGAAGTTAATTTTAAACTATTTTCTCTCCCTAAACTATCACGATACCTTTTTTCAACATCTTAAATACCTTCTGTTTACATCAAACTTACTCAGTACTTAACGTATTGAATCAATTTGAATTAATGATAATGAAATTATTCATTTAGTAGAAAGCTTTACATGCTTACCTTCTTTTCTAGTTCAAAATATACGAAACAGTCAAAACTCCAAACCACAAACGAGAAACGAATAGAATAGATAATGAACGATATTTTATTCTCCGAACACAAATCAGGTATAACGTTTTCTATATGTTGTCGTTCTACTCAGCACCAGTATGACAATGAATGACTTTCTTGTGTTTGGAATAACCTTTAATAGGAAAGAAATCCTATTTACCTGCGAACAGGTAAGAAATACCAAGTACCTGAGGAGATGGACATGTTCTAGGTAAGAAATCCTATTTACCTGTGACCAGGTAAGAAATACCGTGTACCTGAGGAGATGGACATGTAACTGAAATTTTATATCGTTGCCCTTTCACATATAATTTTGTGAATTAACTTTCATCATGTTACTGGTATTAGTTTTATTAACGCCGAAACACGAACTGAAAATAATAAACCCATAAATTAATGAGTTAATTTAATCGTCAGTGTATTTCAGAATATGTTCAAACACATCTCCACCTCTACTTAAACAAACATGTAATCTCTTCAAAAGATTGTCATGTGTAGCGCTTCTGATCAAGTCTGGAGTCAGTTGAGATTGGCTAAACGTATGNACTTTATATTTCTTGGCTGCCGAAAATGAATAGCTTCAATTTCTTTAAGAAGTTAATTCAAAACTATTTCCACTAAGCTATCACGATACATGTTTTCAACATCTTGAATATCTTCTGTTTACATCAAACTTACTCAGTACTTAACGTAATGAATTAATTTGAATTAATGACAGTGAAATTATTCATTTAGTAGAAAGCTTTACATGCTTACCTTCTTTTCAAGTTCAAAATATACGAAACGGTCAAAACTCCACACCACAAACGAAAAACGATTAGAATAGAGAATGAACGATATTTCATTCCCTGAACACAAATTAGGTATAACGATTTATATATGTTGTTCCACTCAACACCAATGTATGACAATGAATGATTTTCTTGTGTTTGGAATAACCTTTTATAGGTGAGAAATCCTATTTACCTGGGATCAGGTAAGAAATACCAAGTACCTGCGGAGATGGACATGTTCCAGGTAAGAAATTATATTTTCCTGTGACAGGTAAGAAATACCGTGTACACGAGGGGATGGACATGTTCTCTCAAAAGTACCATGTAACTGAAATTTTATATCGTGACCCTTCCACATATAATTTTGTGAAGTAACTCTCATTATGTTACTGGTATTCGAATATGTATAAATATGCAGACTTTTTGAGCCAAAACGGACAATGGGCAAGTTCTGGAAAACATTCCACATGAGTTGCTCGACCAATAAAAACGAGATCATATCTGAAATGAACCAAAGAGATCTCTTTCGAATGAAAAATTTGAAATAGGAATATCCACTCGTATAATTTTGTAGAGCTTTTATTAAAAAAGTGACAGATCGTCTGGAACATCGAAAATTTACGAAGTGAATCCGAACAGATGAATTTATGACTGATGTACTGGAAAATGTTATTAAAATAATGATTAGATCTCGTATGGATTTCTCACCTCTCACTCAAAATAAGCCAGCCGTATCTAGTCAAATAAATAATATCACATGGATACAGAAGCAAAATATGATGGTGAAAAAGTGAATGCATCTGTTTGCATTTTCTGAGAAAATGTCAGTGCTGTGGCTTGGGTTAGAATTTATAAAACTAGTTTGTATTAGTGTCGTGATTTTCTAAATTGTTTTTTTGTTGTTGTTATTATTTAATCAAGATGCCGTTGTGGAGATCTTTTCGTCATGTTTCTGATATTCAAATTGACAATGTTGAAGGCTCAGTTGAAGATATTTCTACGGCGTCAGAATTTTCAAATAAAAACTTGCAGATAAAAGAATGGTCATAATGGAGTCATCTCGCATCGTAGCATGGCGGCAGCAGTGCTATGGTTTGATGAATTGAAGATACACAAACAGTAACTTGTATGTTTTCATTCAATTTTCATGCTAAACACTAAACCCTAGGGGCAGGCAGATATGTTTCTCTAAAACTTTCAATAAAATCAGTCATGGGTTTCTCATTTATTAACTTTCTGGTATGGATTTCGATGAAATCTATATTCATATGTTGGATTCATGTCTTGCTTGAAGGAAGCAATAGGTCTACTATAATGGTCTACTAATATGTTTTCTCTTCAAATATAAATTTTACCACTAGTAGAGTATCTCCGGGGTTCAATTTTGGGCCAATACTTTTTTATTGCCCATAAATGATTCGTACAACACATCATACTGCGAAAGATCAATGTTTGCAGATGATTAACAGCTTTACCCCTCTGTTATCGATATAGATTACTGTACCCTTTGGGATTACTGGTGTCAAATAAAACTACGTCAATTGAAATATTACAACTGCAATTTATTTTCAACAATATAAATTCAACATATCCGATACACAAAAACATATTTGAATATAAACATCAAATATGTTGGTACAGGAACATAAAGAAGCTTTCCCTCAGTTATCTCAAAGGTGCGATTTTGTTTAATCCTTTTCATGAAAGAGGACGTATGCTTCTCCACTCACAAGCGATATTCGTGAAATTGGTGACACGTGTGCATCGTTGTATTTGTGCCACGTGCCAGTATACGGGTGTCTGCAGTATGTTGTATGATGCCTGTATACCCATAATTCAACTACGATAGACTAAGGTGTTGAAAACACCATCCTGGCCATGATGAACCCCTTAGTTTTCGACTTCAGCCCACTCGACCTGAGGAAAGCGAAATTCAGGCGCTTTAATTATTATTATTATATCATAATTATATCATATTACATTATATCATGGATTCGATACAGTTCATTGTATTTGTTTGAAAATGTCTTCCTAGGACGAAACTGCAGTAACGTTAGTTACAAATACAAGTGGTATAAAAACATAGCAAATTTGAATTTTCATTTTTCAGGAAATGAAAGTGTTTATCAAAACGTCAACCACTGAAAAAGCTGACTATGAAAATGTTTTCAATACAACACCTCAGGTGGATTCAGGCACAAAAACAACAATTATAGACACAGTATTTTATCTATATCATTCAATATATTCATAACTTCAATAGTTCTATTGCTCTTCATTATCAATATACATTCCTGTACTATCCTGTGGTGGATCAGTGCTCACTGTCATTCGATCTTGATTGAAAATGCTTCCAAAAGTGAACTGTAAATGTTGCAGTTGATTATCTGAAAGTCTATTTCGACATGTAGTTCTCCAAGGATAGATATAAACACTCGATCTCACAAGAACGAGATAACGACCTTGAATAGCAATTGAGATAATTATTTGACT